GTGTCTATAGTGTGGTTTAGGTTTTTTTTAATAAAGTTTCAAAAATTTCTATGTATGTGGAAAATGTAGTTGATTACCAAAGGTTACAATTTTTATTTTGAAGACTGCATGGTCTAGGAAGTGTACACTTTTTTATGGGGCAAGTTTCCAAGGGCGGGTTTTCTAGGGGCGAGTTGACTGCCAAAGTGTGTTGCCAAAGTGCGAGCCAGCGTGTTATTTGATCACAAGTGCGAGACATATCACAAGTGTGAGCCAGCGAGCCATGACGTCACGACAATAGATAGAGACGTTAGCCAGTTGTGTGAGGTATTGGCTGAGATTTGTGGAGTACAATTCAAAAAACAACTACAGGTCTAATAATGAATTATTGTGATGTTAAATAGACAATGTTAGCTATCAAAGAGCGACGTTGTTTTTCATTAGGACCTTCGTCTTCAAGGCTAGGCCTATACCATCCTAGCTAGTCTAGGCCTAGAGTAGGATAAGGCTTGTGCGACATGCGGACGTTGGTACGAGTAGGTTAGTCTACAAACGTAATTGATAAAGTAATTGATTTTACCCGGCAGAACGAAAGAAGGAAACTCCGCTTTTCAGTCATCTTAGGCACTCGTTTTTTGACAAACAATGACCTTTCAGAGGTCAAATTGCTGTCAAGAATATGAATTGGCTGCTCCACAGCAATTAATTGTTATTGGTGATTTTAATCTTGACATCTCAAAAGCTAATAATTCTAAGAAGATTAATGATTTTGCTAAACATTGCAATTTTAAACAACTAATTAATGATTATACTAGGATTACTAATAAAACCAAAACTATTATTGATCTTGCATTTGTTTCACATCCTGAAACCATTATTAACTCTGGTGTCCATAGCCTTGGATTGAGTGATCATTCACTTATTTATGTTGTTCGGAAATGTAAGCAGTTTAAACTCCCACCTAGAGTTATCAGATCTCGCTCTTTTAAGCACTTTAATAATGCTGAATTCTTAAAACTATAAACGAAAAACACTGGAATGAAATCACCAAATTTACAGATGTCAATAATGCATGGTCCTTCTGGAAAAATATGTTTCTTGATGTATGTAACAAACATGCACCAATCAAAGAAAAGAGAATCAAAGGATTCTTACCTGAATGGGTGACTAGCGATTAATGCCCCCTTTATCTGTATTTAGTAAGACTGTACCTTTTTTTATTTTGGTTTGGTACAGTAGTTTTCATTTGTCTGCTTTCTTTTCAGTTTTAGACGATCTTGTTGTTTTTGATTTACTTTTGAATTTCATGATTGTAAAAATTTTTTTTTTTTTTTTTCGGATATATTCACTGTATGTACCAGGGCTTCCTTGAAAAGCAGTGCTAGTCACTGAATGGATACCCCCTGGTTAAAGAAAGCTTAAATAAATAAATAATAAATATAATATGTTAATTATTGACTTTCATATTAAAATCTTTTCAAAAAGCCACTTGCTTTCATATCAGTCATCAACGTAGAATTTCATTCATTATGTAAACATTAAATCCTTTGTACATACAATGTATTCTGCCATTCAAGTTAGAATCTTTCATTACGTAAACATTAAATCTTCTCCACGTAACAAGTTAGAACAAAGTGAGAATCTTAATACAGTATTTAACAAAAAATCCTTTTACATACACTCTATAATCATAGTTTTAAGAACATGAAATCCTTTTTATATACACTTTACACTATATATAAACAAGTACGTAAGCTCATACTCTCTGTAAGTAAGTTACAGTTTCTCTTCAATTTTATAAACATTAGATCCTTTGTTTGAACAGTACAAAGCTACAATTTCTCATTATACGAAACCTCATCAAATCTTTTGTACACACAAGAAGCTGTATACCGGTTATGATAATTCATGATAATTTCATTGTCAACAAGATATTTGATATCAATAATTATAACAGACCGAGCACCTGAGCAAACTATTATAATAACATAAAATCTAATATTACTGGTACAGTACATATGGAATCAAAAACCGCTGTAACAAAGAACATCCTTATTCCACAATATTCTGTATGTTATCTTCCATTCTTTCTTATAGTTTAGCTTGTTTTGCTCTTACTTATGTTTACATGTTAAATTTCCCATAAAGAAATGCTCTGATATATAAGTACTCTGTTAAATTAAAGCAATTTAACAACAGTACGCATAGCTCGGGATATCGAAGGTTATAACTCTGGAATGGACATTCTATGTGCCACGCGCCCCTACAAGCTGATTATCACAAAAACCATAGAAACCAAACCATAATTACCCATCAGTGTGTGATATGTGTTAGATTCCATGATAATCCCCTGTCGTGCAGTGATTACAAAGGCCCAATGATATTTTGCACTAACATTAGACTGAAATTATTTTCGTTATTTCAACATTAATTTATAATAAATTAACTAACAATTGAGAGCTATAATTGCAACTAGCATCGGATTGTCGATGCCACAGTAAATATCAAGGAATGTATGCATGCACTATGTTCGCGAACGGAGATGCGTGTCCTGTTGTTGAAATGCCTTGGTTAAATAGTATTTTAAATGATTAATAATTTATATACCGGTAAGACCATTTTCTTAGAATTTTATCATGTTGATGAAAATTATTTTTATTGTTTTGCCAAGTGTTTTGTGTGAGAAACACAATGGAAATAAGTTTTAACTTGCTTGTGTTACCCTCGGAATGCTGTTTTATCATGTTGTTGTATTGCATTGTACTGTACGAATTCCTAATAAAGTCAATCAATCAATCAATACTACTTTATTATTCCTAAACACTTTTTCAGATGTTTTAAGTAAACAGCAATCACTGTCCCCAAATTCAAGTTTATATGCATACCCCAACTGTGATCTAAAGAATGATTGATGGTATTTTATGGAGTCATGTTGTGTGCAAGTTATTATGATGTTCTCCAATTCAACATTTCCATATTTGCCACAAGCAATGGCCACAAAGTGAATGGTACAGGAATCAACTTCAACAATGAGTTTGTTATAGTTTTTTAATTAATAAAAAATGCTCATACTACCAGAGACAAAAAAACAGAACAAATCTAAAAAAAAATCAAATAAATCTCTGAATCGATCATCTAAGAGAATCAATTAACAACTTCATATGAGTCATGAATTGAAAAATAGCCAGTTTTCCTACAAAAATCCATAAACTCAATGGCAGTAGCCATCTGAGTGCCTTCTGACTGAGCCAGTCCCTAATGAGATTTAAACAAAAAATAGGGACCTCTGGATGGCCGGAAATGGTACTCTCAGACTTGAAAAATATGTTTTAAATGTAAAGTTGATAAAATACAATTATTACTATACTCTAAAACCCAAGAAGCGGTTGGCGCATCGGTTGTGGCTTGGACTCCCAACCTTGAGGTCGGGGGTTTGAAACTCTCACTGTGCAAATCACTTGTGTCCTTGGGCAAGGCACTTTATCTACAGTTGCCTCTCTCCACCCAGGAGTACAAGTGGGTACCTGGTAGGTTCCAACACAACTGCGCTGATTAATAGCCGCAATATGGAATAATAATATAATTTAACTTAATAATTTAATTTGGTGTTCAATGTGTTCCATATGTGTTTGATCCAATGACCGGGGTAGTAATGTGAAGCGCTTAGAGGCTTTGTTAAGGCATTAAGCGCTATATAAGAACGACATATTGTTATTATTATTAACTCAATAAACACGCATTTCATTTCATTAGGCCTATTTTTTTTTTGTCCGACTGCCCAACGAGCTCTAGATGGGGGCGGCTTGACCTGTCCGATGGGGGTACTATAAAAATGTATTACTTAAATGGATGGTACTTAGTGAAAACATTAACAACTTTAATGTTTATTAAACTTCGGTGGCAGTTCACAAGCCAAAGAAAAAACCAAATTTGAAATTGTGACTGATGGATAAAATTAGAATTATGCAAATTTGTCGTCACTTACCTTAACCTTTTCGTTATCTGGCTCAATGTGCTGTACAAAAGTCAAATTATTTTGTGCATACTCATGACCTATCATAAAAAGAGAGAATAAGATAAAAAGACAATTCAGTAATATAGTAAGACCAGCATTTTTATAGAAAACATCATAAACATCTTTGAATCTTTGAGTATTGTATAATCATCGTTTTTGCTCTTTACAGTCCACAACGGTCAACATAGGTCAATCAAAACTGATGCAGGTATCTGATTTTTCAGAGTACAGACCAACTGGTTTAGGAACCATATATGGTTCCTAAACCAGTTGTTCTGGACTCAGAAAAATAAAAATATATTGTTCTACTTTCCATCATCTTTTTACTGTGTAGGTCAACAAAATATTGTTGTACTGGTACCTCTAGGATACAATTCCAGGAATATGTCAGAAATATAACCACATCAAAGGTTTTGTGTAATTAAAAAAATTACTGATTTTAAAAACAAACATGGATATAACCATTAACAAAGATTTAACATTTATATAAAATAAAAAATGGTTGAGATATTTCTCAATTATTAAAATTTGTATATTGGAGTGAATCTGCTACTTTGTGTCTAAGATACTTGTCCTAGAATTTTAAAATAATTTTTGTTGTAAAAAAGCTTTAAAAACTAATGCAAACAAGCTAAATAAATGTATTTATAAGTAAACTAGAGCTGGAGCAGGATACCTCAACGCTGTGCTTGAATAACACACAAAGGGCGTCTTCTGTAGCATCTCACTCATCTTTTTGCATTTCATGTTTTAATTTTAATATCATAACTGTCAGTCTTACAAATATTTGAAAACAAGGTTATTCTACGGGCACTTGCTGCGCTTCGACAGTTGCCAACTGATGCAATTCTATGTAGAACGCAATGACACGGTGCATGCGTAACAGATCTTTTTTAACGATGATCCTTTAAGATTGAAACATGATAGAAACCAACCGGCAGAAGGTGTCGCGTCATCTGGCGCTCACAGAAAGCAGAGTTAAGATTTGTTGTACAGTGGTTGTCGCCGGCTTTATACACATTTTGTATGTATGATTATTTTGTTACGGTTAACTTGGTTCTGTCTACTCTAACTTTATGCCTGATATTATGGCCTTGAAAAAAGATTTGGTAAAACAATTCTATGTTTGACTGTTTGACTCATCATACTGTTTAGGCAAAATCGTAATTGTTATGAAGGTGGGGTATTGATTGCTATACCATCAGCTTCACGGTAACACAAGAATCATGAATGTCCACGTTGATAAAAATCTAAGTTTGTGTCCTGAACTTTCATGTTGTTGCCTGTAGGCTTGTTGTTGCATTTGGTTATAGATTTAATTCTCCAGACGAACTTCATGATAAAAAGATACTAGCATCAATTATGTTTCTAAATAGCCTACAGGCATCACTGAACCGTATTATCCTTGTTGAGGATTTTAACCTCCAAGCTTCCGGAACTTTTTTTTTTTTGCCTAACCATTCATAAATCCCAAAGCACTTCCTTTTTTATGTATTTAGCAGTTTGGGGCTCCAACCTGTTAATTCAAAAACTAACTAGGCCTACGTAGGCTGTATACAGGCTATTGGATGGCTATTAGTCTAGGTATGTCAAATTGTTTATCTCTATGTTCCTTTATGGTACTGTTAAGTTTGTGAGGTTTTTCCCAATTTCTCTGGCAGACAGTACACCTTTCAAGAAAAAACGATTGTTACACTTACAAACACAGAATTAAAGTACTCAAAGTATGTCAATAGATTTAAATTTAATCCTAAATTACAAAGGTAAAAGGAAAATGGAATTAGTAATAAAATAGCAATTAAAATAAAACATTTTATGTACATATTCAGTTTTAATGTGTAACACAATAGTTTTATTACCTGGCCACATCAGAGTATCATCTGAAAGCTGACTAACTATATCTAGAGATCGAAGCATTGTTGAGGCTGAACACTCAAACATACGACCTATAAAAAATAGTACTGAAGCATTGGCTGAAGTATATTTAGAAGTTAATATGAATATATAAGTATTATATAAATATAAATAGTATTATATAATATTAAAAAGTTATATATTTAGGAGTTAATAAAGAGAAAATAACACTAAATCAAATGTTACATTTTGTATTTTGATAGTGGGTGTGACTATGAAGATAA